AGTACAGACAGAGTTTTGTAGAAAGAGTTACTACTTTCTCAGCCTAAATATTGCACAGCTTTCCAAAAACACAAGGGCCAGGGTGATCTTCCTATTTAGTTCTGGCTGAATGGCGCCGTCACTGGTACGTAAGAGCTAGTACGCACAAGGTGTATTACAACAGCGCTGCAGACGAATAAGAGATGACCATGGTCCGTCAGTCGTACGCCATCGTTGACGGCTATGGCTTTGAATCGATCGATCAGAAACGGTGCTAGCCGAACAGGTGCGCCTCGTTTTTCGAGGAAGCACGATGTCTGATGTCGTGCAGTGAGAAAATCGATCGATCGACCGTCCGACGATAAACGTCACAATTGCCTGGAAGAGTAATAAGAATTCGGTTGAGATGAGGGGGCAAGATACTGTAAAACGCATCAAACAACACACCAACTTTGTATAACTGTGTCGAGGAATGAAAACATTGGCAAATACGACGAACGGCGGTCACTGTCGGTCAGCAGTGGAGGAAGTCGAAGTGGAGACGATCCAGCTGGTAACGAGAAGCCCCACATAAAAGACCACGATCGAGACAGACGAAAATAGACTTACTACTCTGGGCACACCAACAACCAAAGAAACACAGAAACAAGGAAGACAACGAAGAACTCACCTTGAGGACAGGGCGCAGCATAATCGGCAAAGCTACGTGCACGTTTTCGCCTTTAACGCGGCAGAGTGAGTGCGACGACGACCACTAGCCACCACCAGCTGCATTCTGCCACGACGCGCTTCCTGAAAAATGCAAGCGTTAGTCAAGAGATGCACAGAGTAAGATAGACCGCGGAAAACGGTGCAACGCGCGGGCATAGACGCAAACGAAAACTACCATCGAAATAAGGAAACAAACCTGCAAGGGAAGGCGGAAAAGCACTGTGAGACAACCTGCATCAAAACTACTAGGAAATACGACAACATCATGCGAACAGGGATCATTCGGCTGAAGGGAAGCTTAACAGATGAACTGTCACTGGGGATCACACTAAAAATTGCGGAGAGCAGATATGCGCGAGGTTTTATTTCTGCATGCCATTTATTTACCGACTACGCCCGTGGACATAAGCACCAAACAGCGCAGACGGCTCAAAGTATAAGGAATGAACAAAAGAACGTCACTTGCGCGTAAGTCTAGCTTTTTTCCTCGTCGTCGCATTTTCATTCCTTTCTCTGGACGAAAGTGGATAGCGTCTCGTG